TTTGCTGGATTATCCCTATTTCCCTTCTTGAATAGACGAATAACATTAGCTACTTGCCAGACCTCCAGGACCTTTCCTGCAGCTAATGCGGATACAAAGATCTTGGTCAAAATTGTTTTGGGTTGTTTTTAAAGGAAACTTGTGATCTATTGATATTTCAAGCTGGTTTTTTTTTAGAAAATGTAAGTTAAAGGAAAGCTTTGAAGGGATTCCCATATGTACGCTTTATCTGAAATTGAAATGAAATCAGATGCAACATTTATTTGTAGTGTATGCACTGAATGTTAAAAAAACCTCAAAATTCTATTCATTGGCAGCTCTTTCTGGTTGTTCTTGTCCCTTTTTTTAATTATAAATGGTACAAACTACTGATACTGAGTCCTTCAAAGTCCTGTTTTGATAGAATAGATAAGAGGAGCTGCACACAGTTATATTAATCTAATGATTTTTAGTATAAACAGAAGGAATAATAAGTCCTAAAGAAGATTTTTAGAATTTTTTTTCATAAATTGATTCATATCTCATCTGCAAGTCCTGCACGTTCATTATCCGTGTCTGCATCATCTCCCTCTTTCTTAATAAACTGAACGGAACATTCTTATTGCATTGATAAAAAGATGGCAAATAATTGAAACGACAGCACTAATCACTGTGGCAGTCGACAAGTTACATAAAGCCATAATCATACAGCCATCGTCCTACAGCATGGAGACAGACCCTTGAGTCCAACCAGTCAATGCTAAACATAATCCCAACTAAACTAGTCCCACCTACCTGCTCCTGGCCCATATCCCTCTAATCCTTTTGCCCCTATTCTCTGCTTCCTATATCCATCATATTACATTTTCCCCATACACCATTAGTTCTTATTTTATGTAGCAATGTTGATGTGCTTTATAAAACATCTCTTGGAAATCGAAGTACTCCAGACTTACGAAATCCCCTGAATCTACATGGCCTGTTATTTCCCCAAAGATATTACTTCCACAAAACCATGTTGACTCTGCATAATTGCTTTAAGGTTTTCCAAGTGCCCTGCTGTAATACATTGTAGCATTTTCCCTATGACATAAGTTTGTCTAAGTAGCTTTCTTGAATACATGATTATGTTTGGTATTTTCTAATTAAATAGGACTTTTCCAGACTCTAGGGAATTCTGGAAAATTTAAAACAGTGCATCTATTACCTCCATAGCCATTTCTTTCAGAGCTTAAAGGTGAAGTCCATCAGGAATGGGAGCTAAAATAAAAGCAAAAAAACTACAAGTGCTTGAAATCTGAAATGAAGCAGCTATTACTAGAGAAATTGAGCAGGTCTAGCAGCATCTGTGGCGAGAACATAGATTCAAGGTTTTGAGTTCAGCAACATAGTTCAGAACTGATAGCTACAAAAAGGTGGTATTTATGCTGATGGCGGGATGGAGTTGGGGGAACAGGTTGAGCGAATAGGTAGAGAATGGAGCACAGAGAGAGAGAGCTAGTTAGGGAAACAAAGGGATGGCACATTGTAAGCCAGGGAAGGAGAAAAGCTAATAATAGAGACAGTGATTAGCTGTGCTGAAAGCAGTCTGTCGTGACAGACCCTAGGGTGTTGGGGTGGGTAAAGGACATGAAAGGAGGTGTTCAGACCCTAAAATTATTGAACTTGATATTGATTCCTTAAGATTACTGGGTTCCCAAGCGAAAGATGAGATGTTGTTCTTCTAGCTTGCACTGAGTCTTTCTGGACTTCTACAGCAGGCCTGAGTCAAAGGTGTTGGCCAGGGAACGTGGTGTGTCACAGAGGCAGGCAACTGGAAATTTGGGGTCACTTTTACAGACAGAGCATAGGAGTTCTGTAAAGCTGTCAACCAGTCTACATTTCATCTCCCCAATTCAGAGGAGACCACACTAAGCAGCAAGCAGTAAACTAGATTGAGTGAAGTGCAGATAATCGCTGCTTCACTTGGAAGGTGTGTTTGAGGCCTTGGATAGTGAGGAGGGAGGAGGTAAACGGGCGAGTGTTGCACCTTTGCAATTGCACAGGAAGGTGTCGTGGGAATGGAGGAAGAGTGCACCAGGGTCTCTCGGAGGGAGGGATCCGTGTGAAATGCTGACCAGGGAGGAGCCAGGAATGTGTCTACGGTGGTGGTGTTCCACTGGAGTTGGCAGAAATGATAGCTTTATGATCCTTTGCCTGCAAAGGCTGGTGACGTGGAAAGTGAGGACTTGGGGGCCATATCTTTGTTGTGCAAGGGAAGATAAGAGGTGACAGGAGATGTGAGGGAAATAGGTAAGACACAGTCTTGGGCACTGTCAGTCACGGTGGCAGGGAATCAATGGTTGAGAAAAAAGGTAAATATTTCTGAGGCCCCCACCCAGTGGAAGGGGGCATTGTCAGAACAGATGTGATGGAGATAGAGAAGTTGGAAGAATGAATGGAGTCTTCACAGGATGCAGGGTGGGAGGATGTTTAGATTTTTCAGTGTATGTAGGTACATGTGACTACAATAAATCAAAGAATGTATAGCCCAGGTAACTGGAGAGCTGGTGTGAAGTGGATATTACTGACCAGCCTGTCCTCAGAAATGGAAACAAATGTCAAGGAAGGGAATGGTGGAATCAAAGCTGGACGAGGTAAAAGTGAGAGCCAGGTTGAAATTGGAAGCAAAATTGACGAATCAAATGAGGGAAGGAAGCCACATTGATGTCATGAATGTACTGGAGAAAGAGGAGCAAATTACTGCAAATGTTGGAATCTGTACTAAGAACAAAAAATGCTGGACATCATAGCAGATCAGGAGCTCTGATGAAGGGTCATCTAGACTTGAAACATTAGCTTGCTGTCTGTCCATAGATGCTGCCTGACCTGCTGTGATGTCCAGCATTCTTTTGTTATCAATACTGGAGAAAGAGTTGTGGGGAGTGTCCTGAGTACGATTAAGCACCATTTTTCAATTTGATATAAGCTTTAACTTACTCAGTTAGCCACAGCTGGTGCAGTCATCCTATTCTCACTTGAATACGTCTTTGAACATTTTGGAAATATATCCTGAAACGTCTATCATTGCATTTCTATTCACCTATCCATTCATCTATTTTCCCACTTCACATTAGTCAGTTCTGTCGTCATAGCCTTGGAATTACTTTTATTGATGTTTAAAACACTAGAGTCAAATCCACCCCTCTCTACCCAGAGAGAATCTGAAATTCAGTCATGTTCTGATCACTACTACCCAGAGGTTGATTCACTGAGGTATTTAATTAATCCTGTCTCTTTGTCCTTAAGTCAAAAATAGCCTGCTCTCTGGTTGGCTGTAGAGCATGCTAATGTAAGGAAATGTCCCAAAAGCACACTAAATTTGACTTTATCAATCTGAATGGAGCAGCACCTTTCTTGGTAAACATTGTTTTTATCCCACCTGTAACCCAATCTTAGTGGCATTACAAATAGGAGGCCTATAAACTGCTGTCTCAGTTGACTTGCTGCCTTTGCTATTTCTTACCTCTAACCAAACAAATTCTACATCTTGTTCTTGAGAACTCGGTTCATCTCTCAATATTATTTACATCCCTACTTATCAGACCAATCCCAGCATTAGCACCTTCCAGCGATTTCTGTGTAATGGCGATCATGTCAGCTCAAATAGAAATAAATATGTAGGACAATTCACTTGCTTGTTAGAAATGTTATGGACACCCAGATACAAATCTGAGGGTCTGAAGCCTCATGCTATCCCTTGCCATGTTTAATCCCCGTTGAGTCTTCAAGGTGTCATGCTATATTTTGTGGGTCTAAGTCCTGCTGTGAGCCCCTGATATATTCTTATACAATGTATATAACAATATTGTAAAACAGAATTGTTGACCCTTATCTATTCTCCAGTCTCTTTACCTGTCTTGCATTAAGAGAGTCGTAGAAGCAGAAAACGCTACACAAAATCCTGTTTAACCATGACTGTACATTACTCTTATGAAAAGGTTAATGTTACTCTCTTTGAGAAATGAATTTGTCTTTATATCCAGACTGTAAATGTGTCTGTTTGGTATAACAAAGGTTGTTAACATGCATGTTTACTTGACAGTTAAAAGGGACCATTACAAGACCACTTCAGATGCTATGTGTTTTATTGCTACTGTATTACTAGGCTGAATTTGTTTTATAGACTGAAAAATAAACAATATGTGATCTTGTTATGTTTTTCTTAACTTCATTATTTGGTTGTAAGTAAAATGCAAAACTTAATTCTGTGGAACATCTGGACTCGCCGAATGCAACACAACTGTTTTACAAAGCCAGATCACTGTGAGGAGAGAGATTTTTTTTTTAAGGAAGATGTGGAAAATCAAACATTTTACCAAAAATATACCATGGCTTTTAGATGTCAATTTAGGTACTTCTCCAATAGTGTGTGCATAAAACACAAGAAATGAGAAATTAGCTTCAGTTTCAGCTATATTGTGGTTCCATTAACATTATCATTCTATTGTTTATCAATGAGTATTGCTAGAATAAAAGGGACATACTGTTAAGTCATTTCATCTGGCACTCCGTTTCAATGCAAGAATGTCAAATTTCACTGGGAACAACAATTTAAACTGCATTAAAATGGATACTGATTGGTTGGCAAGTCGACACTGTGAAGGAGTGGCCATGGAGAATGCTATTGTACCCACTCTTTTCTTGAATTCAAAAAAGTGTAATTCTTGGACATGTTCTGCTTCCATCAGAAGAAGGATTTCTAAAAGTGAATATATATGGCTTCTATCATGCATTAGTAAGCCAAGTGGCAAGCCAGCTAATGGTGTAACAGTTGCATTGTGTTTGTGGATACTAGACTTCTACCAATCTACTGTGGCTGGGCTATGTACTGTCTGCAGAATGAGTTGCAGCAACACACCAGGGGTTCTTTAATAGTCCCTTCATAGAAATAAAAGAACACAATCTTGAAATCGTACTATTTTAAAATATGCATTGATGTTGAAAGAAAGCATGTTGCATTATCTGTCGTGTCCCTGCAGATTCACAACAGCCGTGGTGACTTCCTCCTCCGTGCAACATTAGAAAACCTGCTGACAGCAGACCAAGTCGGACGGTGGTGGATTGTGGGATCTTCATGGAGTGGTATTCCCATGATCGATAACACAAGTGCTAAAACGCAGCAAAACGTTGCTGTTGGAGAGGTTAGCATTTCAGTTGCTAATGTATAATGGTATGAAGTTATTATTATGGTTTTATTAATTCCTCCATTTTATAAGTAGTCAGTTAGATTTTCTTAAGGATGTAGCGCTGGGAGCTAAAGGAATCAAAGATATGGGGTAAAAGCAGGAATGGGTTATTCAGCTGGAGGATCAGCCATGTTCATAAAGAATGGCAGAGCAGGTTCAAGTAGCCTACTTCTCTTACTTTCTATGTTTATATAATAACCCTGTATGACCAAATGTTTTAATTTTGAGTTACTTCCAGCATGTCATTAATCTGTATTTTGTTCTATATTTTCAGTTAATGAAATGGTATTACCATTTGGCACTGAGCACATATCAATGTGTCAGTTAAACACATCGAGTAATTAGATTTGAGCTATATATTGAAAAACTTCCTGCTTTGAGAAGAATTGCAAGAATTTTGGTACACAAGGAGGTAATTTTCTCCTTGAAGTTGGCAGCTTCCTCTGTTGGAACACTCTATTGTAATCTAATTTCCCAGATTACATTTCTTCCATGTTTGGTTAATTCCTCATGTTGTAATTAAATCAGTTTTAGTAGGCATTTGTAGAAAAGCAATCCATATTTTAAGGATCATTTCATGAAATATTTCTAACTTTCTCTTTCATGACTTTTTAAATTTTTTTTTGTTTGATACACTTTCGGGCCACTGCGTTGATCAGAATTTTTTACTGCCTCAAGCACTGTGGTAATTTGAACATTACATCAAGAATTACACTACATGGGCTATATTTAAATCTTGTGTCTTTCCTAAACAAAGACAAAAGTTTGATTATTTTGGGTGATCTCTAATCCTCTTTAATTCAGCTTCCTGCATTATTCCTCACAGTTTGCCATTTCTCGTCTCCCATGCCACAAAATTTGGTACCTTTTACTTATTTCATGTAATTTCTTTTCAACCTGTGTCATATGTGAAGAAAACGGAAGACCTGAGGATTCCTGGAGCGTCATGCAAAATTCACTTGCTCCTGCTCTCTGCCTTCTGTCTTTTAACCTTGTCTCAGTTCATGCTATCATGGCACCATTAAATAGTTTGTCTTTGGATTGTGTGTTGTTTTTCAAAATCTCTTTTTAATTTCCCTTTTTTTGCCTCTGTTTGTGCTGGTCAATTCTCCAGGTGTCCTTCTACATTACAAGCATCAACTTTGTCATTTATATCTCCTGAAATTTTACATCTGTCAGCACTATTTCTTCCATGAAACTTTAGTCTCTTCTGCAGTCATATTGTATATAGTTCATGATTATCAGTCTGAACCACTGATCATGACTTGCAAAGAAAAAATGAATTCATAAATTGTTTGGCTTTAAAAAAAAACAAGTTTTATATTTATGATGATATATGAACACAGGTGATCAAAACAGTTGGGGTAAATCTATCATAAATGTTGAAAAAAAAAAGAATTATGGATATTGAAACTGAAGAAAACTGACTAACCAGGACATGAAAATCCCTTGTTTGAAATAAATGTTCTCTAGAGTATATTTTTTTTCTGACCTGACTTGATTATTGATATTAGTTTTTTAAAAGCTGCAGACATAAGAGAATATTCAGTCTTTCATTTTTTGAATAATTCTCAACTGACACAGAGCAACTAGGAGAATGGAGAAACTAAGAAGAGGAGAGTCAGCTGTCACTTACGTTAGGAGTTATGTGAATGACTGACTACCATTCTGCTGTTAGAGGCCTGAAAAGCTACAACATTTCAGAAAAGACTCATCATTATTACTTTTTAATTGACTCTTCATGTAATTCTAAAATTGTTCATTAAAGCACACTGCTAAAGTTGAACCCTTCTGAAAACTGGTTTGAAGTATTTCTAATTTTAAAACAAGTAGGCCAAGGAAAATATTATAGTCCTTAACTGCAGTCAATGTTTCTGTACTGTTGACATAGTACTATTCATTACTTTTTAGGTAAGTGGAAAAATTATGGAACTTGCACACAAACAAAGGATGAATACAGATATAAGGAAGAACATCTTTTGTGTCATGATGACCAGTGAAGATTATTTGGATGCTTTTGAAAAACTTTTAAGGTCAGTATCTAATCTTAGCTTTGCTGAATTTAGTCTTTTGTAAAAAAAAACTTACTGCAGCTAGAATGACAAATGTTAGATTACATTTCTATAAAAATGCTATACTGTGAACATGATAGCGAGATACTGCAAATGCAGAATGCTGGTGAAACTTAGCAGGTCTGGCAATATCTGTGGAGAGAGAAACAAAGTTTTAACATTTTCAAGTCTGGTATGATGCTTCAGAACTAGTTCTGAAGAAGAGTCATGACAGACTCAAAGTTAATATTTTCTCTCTATCCATAGATGCTGCCAGACCTGCTCAATTTCTCTAGCATTCTTTGTGTTGGTATGGTTAGTAACAAATTTGAACCATATAAAATTTAAGCTCCACCACAAGCTTTGTTGAAGGTATCATTTTTCATTTGATACATGATCAATTACCTAAGGGTCTGCTTCCAAAAGGTTAGAGATTACAGATAATCTAGTCAACATTTATTCCTCAACAAAAACACATCAAGTGACAACTTCCTGTCATAGCTCTTTTGTATTATTTGAGTGCAATATTTGCCTAAATGACAACTATTACTGTTTGAAAAGTTATTTACTTTCTGAGCAGTTTGAAATAGTCTAATACTGTACATTAATATGGGAAAATAACTGCAGTTGCAAGTCCTTGAAGACCAGAATTGAGTCTCATTTCTTATTTTACTTGGCACATTTCTATCTTTTTCTTGCCGTATTCATGCCGTTCCCTGTTGCAAGCGTGTGTCTCATATGGCACCCTTCCTGACACTCTGGCCCTCCAAACGTCCAGGTGTTTAGTCCTGAGTTAAAAGAAGATTTATTAATCTCAGCATTTTATGGATGCAAATTGACAAGAACACTGATTTTTGTGTTTTATATTTCACCAGAGCATCCAATGTATGCATCTGTACAGCCCACAAAGCTAAATAACTTGTATATTCCTTCCATTGTGTTTTTAAATCAAATCCTATTTAATCAAATGGTTTCAGTGCAAATTCACTGACTTCAAGAGCCATTAAGCCTTTTTAAAATGTTGCGTTTATCATGGTGTTTTGGCAGCTCAACATAGAGTTCAGGTAGGAGGCCAGGAAATGGAGCTAGCTCAATGGGCCAATCTCTGTCTACTCTTTGTGGACACATCATGATTTTGAAAACTCTTAACAGATCTCCTTTTAGCCACCTTCTGTCTCAGGAGAACAGCCCCGGGCGCATTCAAATCTGTCGTCAGAACCGAAGTTTCTCATCCCTGGAACCACTTTTATAAATTTCTTCCCCACTCTCTCCAATACATTCTCATCTTTCCTATACTGTGATAGCCAGAAATGTACACAGCTCTCCAGTTGAGGTCTGACGAGTGTCTTGTGTAACTTCAGTTTAGCCTCTTTGTTATTGTACTAATCATCTTTGTGGTTGAGTTTATATAATTTAGCATAGTTTTCAAATAATTTTCTTTTACCACTTCAAGCCATGTATTCAGTATATTTTTTTTCCACCACTACATGCAATTAAGCCAAATTTAACATTTAAGTTATGATCTTAATTTGATTTTTCCCTTAGATTTT